ACATAAACTTAATACTACGCGTCAAAAGTTTAAATTTTCATTTCATTTTTCGTTTCAACTTTTGAAAGTGATATCTGAGGATCCAGGGTACTTTAAAGGTCTCTGGTGGAATAAACTGTTACAATGGAGCCTTAAAGTGGCCTGTTTTTTTTTTTTATATATATATATATATATATATATATATATATATATATATATATATATATATATATATATATATATATGTAAGCTCTCTCTCTATATATATAAATATGTTAGCTCTATCTCTGATATTGAGCGCTTTCTAATAAGTACCGCATATAATATATAAATAATTATACATATATATATTTATTTATATTTATATACACTTTTCATATATATATATATATATATATATATATATATATATATATATATATACACCTACTAAACGGATCGTCAGGGAAAAGTAACTTTCCCTGACGATTTGTTTAGGTGAAACCTAGGTAGGTTTGTCTGGCTCACTAGGTATATCTAGGTCTGCTATACGGTTGTATTGAGCGCTTTTGTTAGTTAGTTGTTTACTCGTATCTGGGTTTTTTCTTTGGGCTTCAGACCTGTATCTGTGCGATTTTTTTGTCGGCAGAATTCATGTTTGTAGATCTTTTTTTTTTTAAAACCTTTTTTTTCCTCGAGATTGGTTTGATTATTAGCAAATCAAAATTCGAGGGTTTTTCGAAAACTAGTCTAGTTATCTATAATTATCTATATATATATATATATATATATATATATATATATATATATATATATATATATATATATATATATATATATAAGTGTGTATGTGTATTTGCGTGCATGCCTGTGTTCATTAACTGGTATCAGTCCTCAGGTCTATCGTTAACACGATCTTTTAAATATTTGATATTCAACAAAATTTATTTTTTCTTTCGAAAGCCAGGTTGTTGTAAAATAGTTTTTGATGGAATGAAAATCTCTATAATTTAACGAATACAATTTTATTGGCTTTAGGCTCCCCCACTCAAAAATAAATAAAGAAAAGAAAAAAAACTGTTTTCTTCATATTGGCACAATGGTTCTTTTCCCGATTAGCTCATATTCAATATTTAATCGCATTAATGGGGCCAAATGCTACGCCTAATTCCATAGATTATTGAATAGTAAAAATCAATATTTTTTAAGTTAATTTTCTTTTACTCCACTTTAAGAACGAGTTGGTTTATCACAAATGAATAGCACTGTTATTGACATTGTTTTCTAACAATTAAGAAATACTCAAAGCCCTCCAGCATTAACTAGATAAGAACAAAAGTGACGCCAACGACAAACATGTCATTCAGATTGTTGACGATGAGAAAAATAATCAGTAATTGTTGAAGTAATTTTAATGATTGCACAGCAATTAATCCATCATAGCGTTGATTAACGAGCTTTTCTTCTTAAATGTTTTACTGACAGGCACTTCGAGGCAACAAATCCGATGGTTTTTGCATAGCAACCACAGATGGATTTTCCTTTTCGTCTCTCATTGAATTTGTATTCTCTTTATTCATTATTTTGTTCTTTTTCCATTTGATTGCTGAATAAACGATATTAAAAAATATCATTTATTCACAAAGCTGGTTAAAGATTTCATCGGTTTATTTGATAATGGCAACTATTTTTTAATATTAGTTTGTCCGAAACTTTCGTTCTGTGGTTCTCTTTAGATAGAAGCGATTTCGATTTCAGTTCATTTACTACGTAAAGATAATTTTAGTGATATTTTGAAAGCTGACTCATCAATGTTCATTACATATGCTCAGAATTGAAGTTACGGTAACTGCTCCAATGAGCTACTTTCGCTGGTTCCAAAACTGCATGAATTTAAACGTGCTACTAGATTGGCATTTCAGTCCCAAACTTTCACTGTCGAAACGGTTAAATATGGCCGTCTCTTCTACTCCAATAGCTTCATGTCTTGCACTTCCCGTCTGTGAAACTCCCTTCCTCTTACTTGCTTCCCTATAATCTCCAAATATTCAAATGCAATGTCAATCGACATCTCCAGATGCCTTTATTGATTCCCCGTCCTTCTCTTCATCTTTTCCACTTTCACGCCTCGTTACTCTTGCTCCCAATCTCTGTAAACCCATTGCGTATTAGTGCCTCTCTCGCCTTGCTTCGGGCGAAATGCTTAAAAAAAATAGAAACACATTTTCAGTTTACTTGCATGAAAGTAAAATACGAAACAAAAACTAAATCAAAAGATTTATAAATTTTATGAAGAGGTGAACATCTCAAATGTGGTTTTTAGTCTTAATAATGAGATCCTTTCCTCAGGTTGATGTTAACATTACCTTTATTAATTAATGATGTTAACATTACCTTTATTAATTAATGATGTTATCATTACCTTTATTAATTAATGATGTTAACATTACCTTTATTAATTAATGATGTTAACATTACCTTTATTAATTAATGATGTTATCATTACCTTTATTAATTAATGATGTTAACATTACCTTTATTAATTAATGATGTTATCATTACCTTTATTAATTAATGATGTTAACATTACCTTTATTAATTAATGATGTTATCATTACCTTTATTAATTAATGATGTTATCATTACCTTTATTAATTAATGATGTTAACATTACCTTTATTAATTAATGATGTTATCATTACCTTTATTAATTAATGATGTTATCATTACCTTTATTAATTAATGATGTTATCATTACCTTTATTAATCAGCCATGATGAGATTCGAATCCAGGTTTATAAACATAACGAGAAAGTGTTATCATCTTAGTCACATTCACACTTGGGTGATGACTATTTATTAAAGCCATTACAGAATTCAGTTCAGAAGGAAAATTAAATTCTTTAAATAAAAAGAAAATTGAAAATACCCTTTTACTGAGAAATGTAAGCACTTACGGGATTTGGTTTTATGAATGTGGCTGAAAGCTTTAATTCATCTTGTGAGTCGACTGATCTCTACAATTTCCTGTCTTCGGCTGTTATAAATAACTTTTATGTTTTCCCATCTCTATTTAACGCGTTAATTAGATTACTAGCTATTTCTTTCTGTTTTTTTTTGTTTTTTTTGTGTTTTTTTTTTACCTTCGATATATAGGCTGCGATGGATAAATTGTCGTCTCAATTACGCAAAATGAAAATAACACCAACGTCTCATTTTAACAGATATATTTACCAAAATTACACAAAGGCATCTTAAAATACGAGTAAATGGATTCAATAAATTTTATATTCTCTTCAACCACGGCCTTCAGATGACATCGTTATCTCCTGTAACTTTTCTGGACGGTTTCCTTGTTTAAGTTAGTTAATGCTTACATAATCATTGCCTTCATCTTTGGTGTTACACGGACTTTTGCTGCTCTCTCGCTCAACTGCACCCGACACATAATAATCATTGCTGGTGCAGTCTAGGGTGGTAGATGGCAAGCTGAAGAGGTGATGTGGTCGCAGATATTGTCTAACAGCCATTACTGGGTTCTTCTGCTTATGTGGCACGGTGCTCAGTCCTGTTGCCAGATATAGGGACTTCCAGCAGCCACCATCTTGACCCTGGGCAGCACTACCTCCTCAAGGCACTTGAAGTGGGCCTCCGTATTGAGTATGAGGCCCTAATTAAAATATAAGATGGCAACAATTTACCCATCGCACACTGCATTGTTTATGTACCGTGTTACCTCAGGACGTAGGCGATCATGGCTCTCCACGACTTTCTTTTACTTGTAGCTCTTAATAAACTTTGTTTTTCCGTTTTTCCTCTTAAACTCTGTTCCGTTATTCATTTACTCAACCCCACTAAGTATATTATGCGTTGTTTTCTGTCCTGCGAGTATCAGAATTTCCAAGACTTCCTTCTTCATTATATGCCCAGAAACATCAAATACCCCTTCTAGATGTTAAGTATGAGCTTTCTTTTTGTTTCCACTTTCTACAAAACTTTGTCTTTGCTCGCATGTTTAGTCCAGATTATCCTCAACATCCTTCTGTAGAACAACATTTCTGTTGCTTCAAGTCTCTTCTTTAACTTTGATGGGATCGTCTGACACTCACTGCTAAACAGGAGGACAGATATCCCATGAGAATTTAGTACTATTTTCCTATTTTTCTATTAGTCAGTACACTGTTTAGCTTTTGAAAGGCATCTTTGGCTAACCCAATACCCATTCGGATTTCAGTGTCGCTCCTTCCGTAAATTCTCTTTCCACATTCGGTGTCCGAGAAATGTCAACTGTCGCTTTTTGAATGTAAGTTCGTTTCATTATTCTTATTTTCTTAAAATGACATCATTGTTCACTTGCTCTGTTCACGGCATTCTTAGATTATTCGTCATTAGAACGACAACTGTGTCCCTTCAAGTCCGTTCTTTACCTGTCAGGAAAACTGACCAGCATTCACAGTCATAAAGGTATTTTAGAGATTAGGGAGCTATCCAATACTGTTTCCTTTGTTTCTAATGACATTCTCTTGTTTATCAATACTTGTTCTTGTTTCTGCAAAAAGAACATGTTTCGAGAAACATTTCGTCTTCGGACTTCAGTATTAGATTATTCTATAGTCTGTTAATTCACTAAACACAGTCAAATTTCTGTACTTGCTTGATTTTGATATTTCTTAACGTAGATCAGAATTTGATCTGTTTCTTTCGCCGAACACAATGTAGTTGGTTGTATTACCATAAACAGTAATTTATTTTTTGTTCTTGCTTTCCATCAAAATTGTGTCATCCCATATTATTTATGTCCGCTACTATTTGTGACCTTCGTTAATTTCACGTAATAACAACATAGTACGACTAAGCCATAATATATAAATAAATTTGGTTACAAATTTGCTTGATTTTTGATTCTTTAATAGGGTGATTTGTATACCTATCAGATACAGCGCACAATAATTGTGTGTCATTCACAATTTACCTGTTTGCCTTTTCTAGTGATGCAGACAACAACGTGTAAACATTGTACTACGCCATTGAATTCAATGAGCATGAATAGTCGGTTAGACGCAGTCCCGGACACGAGATGGGAGTTAATTGTTGTTGGCATCGAAGACAAAAGAGCCGGAAACAAGTGCTTGTCTCTTTCTTCCTACCTCATCCGGAACGGACGGAGATTGGCGTTGTTTTCTTCTTCTTCTTCTTCTTCTTCTTCTTCTTCTTCTTCTTCTTCTTCTTCTTCTTCTTCTTCTATTTTTCGCATCTATACAGGATGTTGGGGATCATATATATATATATATATATATATATATATATATATATATATATATATATATATATATATATATTAAAAATCAGTAATCAATTGAATCTGCTACCTCGGTTTCAACGTTACGGTTACCGTACGGTTGAAACCAAGGTATGAAGTCAATATATATATATATATAATCGAAAATATGTCATAACTCACTACATTTTACCACACAAATATTTCATAACCCAATATGACATTTTATCACACACACACACACACACACATACAATTAAAAGTTTGAAAAATTATCCTTGATAATGACTAAAAGTAAAGATTTTAACGAAAAACTTGTACAAAAATTGATTGCTGCCCAATAATATAATTATATATATATATATATATATATATATATATATATATATATATATATATATTATCAAGGATAATTTTATCAAGGATAATTTTTTTAACTTTTAATTTTATGTGTGTGCATGTGATAAAATGTAGTATTGGGTTATGACATATTTGTGTGCTAAAATGTAGTGAGTTATAACATATTTTTCGGTTATATATATATATATATATATATATATATATATATATATATATTCGACTATCCCGTCGTATTCGACGTATGAGAGTCAAGCAGATCAGTTCCTAGGAAACCGACAGCCCGACAAAAGCACAGTGTTGAAGGTTTCGCGCAGGATCATCCACACTTTATGAAGGGCCGAATACAGAGACCTGGTGCACTACGTGCCACAGGTTCCCCAAAAGACCCTCCGCAGGTTTTTAAATCAGAGTTGTCCTTTTCCCACACCAGTTGCCATCCAAGGCTATAGAACCCAGTCTGCCTGCTATTTACCCATAACTGGAGGGAGAAGAGGATTCACACCTTTCCCAAGGGTATTAGCATATATATATATATATATATATATATATACACGCCTCGGTACTCGGCTTTTCGGGTGTACATGGCTGTAAATGTATAACTGACCCCCCACTCTATTCCACACTCCCTGTTTAGAAATATCTCCCTGCGTCCCAGCTTATATGCATCATCCGTTGATATACTAAGCTATTCCCCACTCATCTGTTTTAGGGTATATCACGCGCAAGTGATTGTTATTAATAAAGCAATTCCACCGATAAATATTCTTTTGTGCTCGTTGCTCGGGGATAAATTGTTTCCATGTTTTACATATTCAGTAAATTTTCTATGGCCATAATAACTTTCAAATAGTATGGCATTGTTTAGAAATCTAATAATGAATGGGAAATGAGCAAGAATGAAACTACGCTGTCTTATTTCTTGTACGATGGACAATATTTTTCCGACGTGTTTGAAGAAAATCTGATAAAAAATGAAGAATGACATCGAGTTTTTCGGACTACTTAAAATAAAAACTTGAATATTTTTTTTATTTTAAGTAGTACGAAAATTTCGATTTTTTTTCACGATTTCTTGTTTGAAGCCAAAATTGCAGCGAAAGTCACAAGCACTTTACATAAACTTCATAACATGAGCTATGTTTTGTATTAAATGCAAAGGACATCACCGCGTACAGGAAAATTTTATACGCGTATAAATTTGCCTTGGCTTTTGCAAAAAGGCGTACCCACTTTCAGTTTTATTGATTTTCCTGCCAAACCTGATAGGTATGTTGGAGATTGAAAGTTTGGATTTGACTCAGTAAATCTTCAACATATGTCTACAATTTCGTCGAAATCCATCGAGAAATGTGGACGTGCGTGAATAGCACACAAACACACACAAAGGCAGTCACACAGACAGGCATAGAAACATCTTCTTTCATATATATATATATATATATATATATATATATATATATATATATATATATATATATATATATATATTATGAAATGGACAAAGTCCAACAATTAAATTATATATGTACACACACACACACACACACACACACACACACACACACACATATATATATATATATATATATATATATATATATATATATATATATATATATCCAGAAACAAATGGGTGCTTAGGCAAACACTGACCGAGTGCCAACGGCGGTCTGTGTCATGCTTGAAGGCAATCTTCAGATTAGGTTCACGCATTATACAGACTGTCAGCACAAGCTATTCACATCAGTGCCGATTTTTATATTTATCTTCACTCTATCTTGGATATTGATAATTTTACCGCAGAAATATGTATTACATTTTATAACACATACTCATATATATATATATATATATATATATATACGAACACACACATCTCATTGAATACGACAGACAAAATGATTTATTTCGTTTTTTTTTAAATATCTAATTGAGCTCTGATCAGAATAAATATTAAATATTCATTGAGGCCTACCGGACACTTTTCGTAACATACTTATTGACAGCACAAATATAATAGCATCATCTACATGCCCCAAAAAAGGCTAAAAATAATGGAGATCTTATTAATAAAAACGAAAAGAAACAACTATGTACATGGAGACAATATTTTGAACGTGTTTTCAAAAATAACAACGTTTTCTAAAACATACATGCAACAAACTATTTCTTCTTTAACAGTTAAAATTTTTAATCCTTGAAAATGGCTAAATGTATAGCCGAAAGCCTTCGGATAAAAAAGAACATTCGGACAGTTTTTATATAATTTATCATCTGCTAAAAAAAAAAAAAAATGATCACCTGAGAAATTGTATAAAACATAAATAAAAGCACCTTTGTCTGTCGTATTCAATGAAATGTATATGAAAGAAGGATTGCTGCCTAAAGACACACATAGATACACACACCCACACACACACACACACACATATATATATATATATATATATATATATATATATATATATATATATATATATATATATATATATATATATAGTCAGCCACAGACAGACTATTTCGATGTTTCACAGATCTTTAGGGTGGCTAGACGTCCTAATATTCCAAGCCAGGATCGAAAATTGACCAGTTTGGTATCATTCAGGGATCCTACCCCTAAGCTGTCGGCGTACACCAGCGAGAAAAGATAGCTTTAGCAGTTTTTTATACAAAATATGCCAGTGACAGGAGAACTCAATTATTACTTGAAGAGTAATGTATTATTAGCAGCAGCAGCCACTGGTTTTATTATAATTAAGCCTATTTTCTCGAGAAAGCTCCATCGGGGAGGGGGTTTCGAGAGCACACACACAGACACACACTCGTACACACACACACACACACACACATACACACACACACACACACACACATATATATATATATATATATATATATATATATATATATATATATATATATATATATATATATTAGGTTGAAGAATCCATCACTCAATCAATATATATATTATTAGGTTGAAGAATTCATCACTCAATCAATCAATATATATATCTATCTATCTATCTATCTATCTATCTATCTATATATATATATATATATATATATATATATATATATATATATATTGATTGATTGAGTGATGGATTCTTCAACCTAATAACACATTATCTTTTACCTTGGTTCAGAGAGAATATCATAATGGCGTCTGACATGAAAGTGCGTATTTATTAGAGGCATGTGATTGAATTCGTCAATGTGTTTAAAATGTAGTCCAATTGTCATTCATAGGTACATGAGGTTCAACTAAGGAGGCAGGGGTTTTAATCGCAAAGAGTTAGCAATATCTACTAGCAATGATATAGAAGTAAACCCATAACAGTTTGAGCGCCTGGCCATTGAATTTGCAACCGTGAAGACTATGTAGATAATAGTATTCTATGGTTAATAACCTGTGTATGCAACCGTGACATTCAATCGTGATATATATGTCAGAACTAATAGAAAAGCCAGATATAATAATATATACTTTTTGTAACTCATTACACGTAAATTTGTACCTGAAATATACAGGCTAGCATCGTAATTTATCTATCAATTAACCTAGACACGAAGACTGCATTTACATTATTTAAATGAACACACTTGATACCGCCTTTGTTTATTTTTATTGTATTTTTTCAGTAAACACATAAGGTGTAAAACGGTTGCATACAACTAGACAGCAGTGGAAAAATGTACGTATTGCAATTTGCATTATGTTACATGATTATTTAATATTTTATCCATAATTTAAAATGCAGCCTTTTATAGTGATATATATATATATATATATATATATATATATATATATATATATATATATATGTGTGTGTGTGTGTGTGTGTGTGTGTGTTTGTATATAAGTTATTTTTATAGATACAAATACTTAATGCTTTGTACATAATAAACAGAATTAACAATATTTACCAGCCTGAATATCCGAGATATCTCAAAGATTTCGAGAGAAATAATGGGGAATGTGTAATTTAGAAACAGTAATTTAATGTTGCTAACCTGGTGCTTCTTCTGTAGCTAAATGGCAGAGCACGTCAGGCAATATGACGGTTCCGTGGGGAATACAGATTTGATTCCTGGCGGAGGAACATTTTTCTATGAAATTTCTCGGACTTTCAGGCCGGTAAATATTGTTCAAACTGTTTATTATAAGCATGACATTTTTTTAAATATTTGTATAAATAAAAATAACGTATAAACAAAAATATATTAAAATAATTGTCGGACCTACTCCACTTCATAATAATAATAATAATAATAATAATTATTATTATATATATATATATATATATATATATGTATGTATGTGTGTGTATTTAGGCAGCAATCCAACTTTCATGCACATTTCATCTTGGCCGTGTTTTGAAAATGAAAACATACTTGCAACAAACTATTTCTTTTTTAGCAGTTAAAATATTTCATCGTTGAAAATAGCTAAATGTATAGCCGAAAGCGCTCGGAAAAAAAGATCATTCTGATTAGTTTTATATAATTTATCATCTAAAAAGAAAAAAAAATTATATTAGATCGCATGAGAAATTGCATAAAAAAACTAAACCAAAGCACCTTGTCTGTCGTGTTCAATGAAATATATATATATATATATATA